AAAAAAAAAAATATTAATTTGAATAAAATAAGCAGTTATTGAAACCAAATAATATGAATTCAAATAAAATTAAATGATCTCTTTATAACGTAATATTTCATAAATGTAATTATTGTTCGCATTCGAATAAACGTTCAGCTGGATCGACGAAATTTTTTTCTTCCGCGCAAACTAATTTTGTGGGAGGGTGACGTGGGACACCAAGTTACCATATACCTAGATTAGTGGACGACATTGGCATATACACACACACACACACAACCACGCGCGAGCAGCCCCTAACGCTACTGTGTATGTGGCAGCTCCTCCTCCCACGCTCTCCCCATCTCGCAGTGTATAGACGGTACTTTCGACTCAGCTGTGTAGTACGTTGTGTATAGTGGCACAAAATGCACTATGGCCGCTCCATTGCCAGAGTGAGGCTGTCGCGACAGTTGAGGAGGAAAAAGAAATAAAAAAAGAAAAAAAAAAACAAAAAACAAAACAAATTGCCCGAAACGAGCGAGGAAAACAACAAACGAAGCCCGGCAGTGATCCGGAGGATAATCGTCGAGTGCCTTTCTTTTTTGCTTCCGAGGGGCTGCAGGTGTCAGTTTCTTTTCGTTTTTTTTTTTTTTTCTTTTCTTTTTTTCCTTTTTCCTTTGCCGCTTGCCCCATCGGAGACGTCGGAGGCAAGGAGGCGGCCTCGCGAACACCCCTGGCTGTCGTGCAAGTAAGTATAAGTACAACACTCGCAACTCGAGCCCTCGACCATTAACCCGATGACATTCCCTCGAAGATGATGATAACGCGTATACATGTGTACCTATAAACTAAATTGCACGCATCGGAGCGAGCCAACTTGATTCTGTTTAACATTTTGCTTTTTTTCCCTTGTCACTCCGATGCCATCCACTTATCATGGTTTATTGTGACTCGTTTGGGTCCCGCAATTACTTTACGACTTCTCTCTTATATAGGTATACACGTGAGAAATAAATTGATATATTGAGTTGCCTGTAGCGCACGTATAGGTTGTACATGCTCATTTTGACTGTGCAAACACGTCAAGCCCATCGCTTGTTCTACCGTGTGTTGTGATGGAAAAAAAAAAAAAAAAAAAGAAGAAAAAAAGTGCATTCCATCGAGTGAATAACCAAAGGGGGGGAGCTTTCTTGGTAGCCACATTTCTCTGACAACAAACTGCGTGTTATTGCAAGCCGAAAGTGGGGGGGGGGAAAGGAAATTCCGCGGAAAAAATTTCGTTTACAAAAACATGTGCATTGCACAAACAAATACGAACCTGACAATTTCTTCTGGGAAGCAGCAGTTGATTGTTGTTATGTACTCGGCCAGTGTTGAGCCTAGATCTGCCCGAATTTCTTGTACCTTCTTCAAACCTCCTGTTGTCACAAATAGCCTTCTTGCTCTGGCATCGCTTGGTAAAATCTATGGGAGACGTATTAGTCCCAATAAGAAAATAATCCTTCATGTAAGCAATTATCTTTGATTGTTTTATTTTTGTAAACAAACATCAAACACATGTGTCAATTTTATCTCTAGGGAAGCGTGTCGTCTTGGATATTTTTAATTCATATTTATCTAGAAATCAACATTGACGTCAATTGTACACACACACACACACACACGTATATATACTTCCAAATCATTAAATCTCAATATCTGTCAAGTGGAAAAATAATGATAAATTACGTGTCACTTTTATGTTCATTTCATGCATTTAAATACTTTCTCATTGTTTTCAAATAGGAAATGGAACTTGTTGGGAATTTTGCTTTATTATTATTTTTTTTTTTTTTGCATTTTGGAAACGAGGACATTGGCACTGGTCTTTTAAACAAACAGAGTCTAAATATACCATCCTTGAGTCAAAAACATTTTTTCACCTCTCCCTCCTACTTATATTATGGTTTTGGTCTCTCTCTCTCTCTCTCTCTCTTTCCTGATGCCTCTTTTTTTTTTTCTTCGCTTTCAGTCTATATTAGCCACTTGACGCTTTACATTTGCTTTCAGTGAACCAGATGCCGCATCGGAATCAAAAAGTACTGATGTTACTTTTTTTCACGAGCACGAAACATACCTCAAGTTGAAGGAGCTTTTCAGTGATGTGATTAATTTACCATTCCAAAGAAGAAAACAAGTGTGAAAACAGACTCTAGGAGATAAGATTGCGCCGAGTTATGCAAAAAAAATAAGTCACTTTGGCGAAGGAAAAACAGGAGCAACGGAGCACTATTATTCGAATTGTACCCAATGAAGAAAATCCAACTGTAAATAGCAACCTCATATATCAAAGACTACATTGACTTTTTAGCTGATAAACTAAGCGCGTCTGTGCGCACGACTCATCATTTAAACGGTGCAAGACAAATGAAAAAGTACCATAAAGAGGTGGCTCGTTGTGTGTTATCGTTAGTGTGCCTTTGACAATTTATCCGTGAAAATTTATACACGCGTAAAGTTCGGTTCTTAAAAAAATAAAGTCTTACAACGTATAAACTGTTTTAATAGAAAAAAAAAAAAAAAAAAAAAAAATTAATACACCTATTTTGATTTTTGCAAAATGATTAACAATCAGCAACGAATCATTTTGAATACTGGTGATACCAATATTCATCATCAACCCGTGTCTTCGAAGCCATCAATAGTATCTGTGTCAAGCATAGATTCAGATGTTAGTGATCGACGTGATATTAGGGAAGCTTTGTACACGGGGATCTTCAAGAGGCACAGGAAAACTATTTTAGTACTTGGGAGCTTCCTTAAGATGCTCAGGGTGAATAGAAACATGAACAATTATGCTAGTATAAAAGCGAATGACGAAAATGACGAGTAACGAGTAGTGTAAAAAAACAAAACATGGTTACGATGTTTCTAAAAATACTCAATTTTTTTCATATCAGCAATGATGAAACTGTTTTTGGACATCGTTGCGAGTGCTCGGAAGTGAGGGGTATGAGTGTATTCCGGAGACTGTCGTTTTTTTTTTTTTTTTTTTTTTCTTTCGGATCTGTAACATCCGGATATTGAGATTAAATTATTTTCGATGATAATCATGAATATAATATATCATTTAAATTGCCATGACAAGCAAAACTGTCAATTCTTCGGCTTTGTACCAAAATGTAATTACTAGTATTACAATTCATGATAGTCTGCAGATATTTGACATTTATAGTAGATGTGATATATATATGGCTCTCCTATTTAAGTAAGAGATAAATTCATAGCTTTCCTACCTTTTTATACACAAATATTTGAAAAATTAAAAAAAAAATAAAAATAAAATTATATATAAAATCTAAATTTTAAGAATACGTGATAATTTTAAGTTACAAACTGAATCATAAAACTGCCAATTATAATTGCTTGAAAACTTTTTTTTATCAATTACACTTGGTGTCTCGGTTGCAAACCATTGCAACATTATTTAACAATCCGAAACTAATGCTATCTGTACTTAACTCAATTAATGTTTTGCAATTTAAAATACATCTAAATTTATCTTTTTTCAGAAACACTCGGACAGATTGCATGCTATGAATCTAGTATTTGTTCCGATTGTCATGAAAGTACACACGAACGTAGAACACAAGTATTGGTGAATCGTACATTTTTTTAAAACAAATTTAGTTAACAACAATTCATTTTTGTAACAAATATAAAATGCATCGATCCAAAATTAATAAACTATATATTGCATTTAAAAAAAAAAGTTATCTTTAACATATATTCGAAACAATATAAGTTCAATATTCATCATTCCATAAAAAACATAAAAGTTCTATGTTGATTGAGTTTTATACTGTTCTTTTACATTTGTTCAATAACAAACAAGTATTTTGTTTTATTATTTAAAATTAGTTGTGGAGTTTCAATCGTTCAAGTCCCTTACAAGAGCATCGAAATAAAAGTGATAAACTCTTGACTTGATTATCAATAATTGAAAAAAAGATAAATTTATTGTACCATGTGAATTCGAATCGACACAGCAAAATGTATGCATTTAGTTAAAGACGATTATTTGTAAATTGCTTTAATTTTATTTATTTTTACACTTGATATAGTTTTTTTGCAATTTGATAAAACTTTTTTTCTTCAACAATTAAAAAAAAAAAAAAAAAAATTGGAATTCATTACTATAAATCATTGTACATTATAACAGTAAGACTTGAGTGTCATTAATGGTGTGTCATACGTGTCATCATCATTTTGCTAATTTTATCATTTGCAATTACGTACTTCTATAAGATAACACGATAAAGAGTTGAATGATAAATCTTTAAAAAAAAGACTGAATTATACGGTTGTGCTTTTTTTCAAATGAAAATAAAAATTGAAACTCATAAACTATCTAAAATTTGAAGAGATATTGATTTAATTATCGACGCGTTATCTAACCCTTGAAAATACGATTATTGTAACAATCATTTACGATATTCATAAGTTTTGTCAATAATTGCTGCTTAGATTTGTCATACGCGAACTTGTTGACAAATTTCTGTTGAAACAATGTCAATCGATTCAAAAACTAACGTTATCACGATAAATTAAATAGCCGAAAATCAGTGTTTCAAATAAGTTACAACACGATTGGCGACTAAGCATACTCTATATTAATATAAATCTATAAAATTCGACTGATTTATAGATTTGAATACACGTATTTAAATAAATTAACAATGTTGATCAGGGAAATGTGTAACTACGAAACGTTTGTGTCTATTGTAAAGAGAAATTGCTGAAACTTTATTTATCGCAGTTTCAACAAGGAAAAAATGTTTGCCAATCAATGTACAGTAATTGTAATATATAGGGATCACGATGTATATCAACTAGACTGGAATAGCCAAATGTGAGTGCATGAAAATTTTAACAATTACATAGAGAAATCGGTAGTATTACTGAAGAAAAAAAAAAACTAATCAATGGTAAAAAAAAAAATCGCCTTAAAACTCGCTTGACCAATTCTTCGATAGAGTGTCAGATTTTTTGATATTACTGATCGAGCGACTTATTAAGTGGACGATGTGAAAGCTTATTTGGGAGTACATATGAATGAAAAAGAAAAGAAGAAAAAAATTATCAAAAATAAAAAATTTCCTAATTCGTATGAAACACACAACGCTTTTGCAAAACGTGATTTTCGTGAACCGCGAAATACAGTATATTTGCAAATTACCTGTAAATTATTATAATACGAAACGTTATCAATAGTCTTGTATGATGCATAGTTTATACAATCACTTTATACTTTAAGAACATATAGTTATTTATGAACATTAAAAGTAATGTATAAACACAATGATAAAAAAATCGTCAAATACACGTTTCATAAATAAAAATTTTAAAACGTCTTGCAGTTACTTATCAATCAAGTCCGACAATTTGGCAAAAATGCAATACCTAGAACCCACGTTCTCTCTTATTTCTCCAAACGCAATCAAAATACCTGTTTTTTTTTCTTTCCATTTACATACTTATCCTCGACAACGCATGCATAGCTATATGTATATTTACTTGGCTTAATATGTTTGTTGCACAAGGTCTGTCGTGTACTCGAAAAAGAAAAAAAAAAATTAAATTTGGTAATACTTTGATGGTAGTTACACTTACATTATACGCCAGCGCGAGACAGTTTGCACACTGAGAAAAAAAAAAAAAAAATCATAGAAAATATCCAGTTAAAATACTACATTTGAGAGGAAATATTATACAATATTTCCATGTGATTTGGTAGGAATGTGGTAATAGACTTTAACACATTGACAGGGCTGGAAAAATGCAACGTTGCAAAAACTTTATGCTTACAAAGAAACCAAGGGATCCAATAAATTGAAATACAATTGATTATATTTAAGTTTAGTTGATTATAGTATTGTGCACTNCTATAAAAATAACAATTGTTACTTTTAAAAATAATAATTTTTTCCATTTTTTCCAGCTTGTATCCGATTTACCGTTCGGAATGGTAATTTTTGCTGGATATTCTCTATGACTTTTGTTATTTTCATCTCACAGTGCAGTGCCGCTCGGACGATGAAAATCGACGTAGGTACATTTCGATATTTCAAAGCAAAAACCGATTTTTAGTAAAAAAATGAGAATAACGTTGATAAAAATTCAATAGAATCACCTTGCTGAATTGTCCGAGTATGTATTTAAGTATGTTTGGCGGTGCGTCGTGAAGAAGAGGCTCGAGAGCTTCGATGTACATGCACTTTTGCAAAACCTGCTTCAACGTCACCTTGCACTTAATCTTCAAATCTTCCGAGTTTTGCGGATTCGCGTACAACTGCAAGTTAATTTTCACCCGTCAAGCATCCCACACATAACATAAGAACCAACAGTATTCATGCACTCACTCCCAAAATACACGTAAATATGTTCGTGGCGGCAAGAGCTTGGGCGTGCTCGGGCGAGTGTTTCCCTATCTGGCCCAACGCCCAAACGGTTATGGCTAGAATGTGGTTTTCCGTCTCCGTTTCCAGAAGCAGCGCCAGTTGCGCGACTCCCTAAACGAAAATTTTCGCTCAAATTATTTACCTGACGAAGTATATACCCATTATGTGAAAAGAAAATACCTTCATATCGATGACCATCGAAGCCAACTGTTCCGCGTGTCCAGCTATGTATCCCAGGGCCATGACAGCCGGCAGTTTGGTCGAGGATTTTCGCGAGTCTATCAGCTCGACCAAAAACTCAATGCCGCCCGTATTTGCCGCCAGCCGCGCGAGCTGAAGCGCGAAAAAGGAGCACTTTTATCCCCCGCCGTGTGTATATGTATACATTTGCTGAAAAGTCAATAATCCAACGCTCACCTCGACGGTGTGCTTGCAAACCTCCTTGGTCAGCGTCGCCGCGGCCTTGGCGACGTTCTCGTCGGCGTGCCTCATGTGGTAAAACACCTCGGGAAATATTTCCGCTTCGACCACGAACTCGGCCAGCTCCGGGGTGTGCTTAGCCACGCAGCCCAGGGCCGACAACACTTGACGCTGTACGAGAAAAAGTGCCATATTACATTTGGCACGAATCATATTGTTTGGAGTGTATACCTTTAATTTTGCATCTTGATTGGCGAGGGTTCTCGCCAACAGCGGAATGGCACCCGCGTCCACCACCGTTTGGGCCAACTCGGGGGTATGCTTGCCAATGTCGCACAACGCCGAGGTACTGATTTGCTTCAAGCACAGCTCGGACTCCTGCAAACAGAGCACCAACAGCGGAACGGCACCTGCAAAACAAGGGGGATGAGGGATCATGGAGAATCACTTGTGTGGAAAAAAGTTGTGCACCCACCAGAGTCGACGGCAGACTGGGCCAAGCATTTGTTGTGCCTGGATATGTAACCGACGGCCCAAGCCGCGGCTTCCTTGACCCCAGGGTTGAAATCCTCGAGGCAAAGGGCCATTGCGTCCAGGCCGCCCTCCGACACCACAATGTACGCCATTTCCGGCGAGTGCTTGGCCAAAGCCCTCAGGAGGAAAAGAGCTGCCTTTTTGAAGAAATCCTAAAAATGTATGTGTAATACACGTGCAGTCGCAGGGTTGTACCACCACCATCCAAGGTTTCCAAAATGTACAATAACACACGGCACGTACGGTTTGCTTGTCGATTTGTTTGACCAGTTGGGGCAAGACGTTGTTCCTACGGGCGATGGCCCCGGCTATCTTGACGTCGTGGTTGGCCAGTCTGCCCAGGGCTATGGCGGTCAGTTGTTGGATGGACGGCACCATGTCCCACAACAGAGGACACAGCAGATCCAGGACCCCGGCGTTGTCGAGGTACTCGATGTTGTGGGGCCTAGACGCGAGGTCCGTCACCGTCTGGACGAACTGCATTCGCGACTTCTGGTACTGGTCGAATACTGTGCTTTCCGTGGGTTTTTTTTTTTTTTTTTTTTTTTTTTTTTTTTTTTTTTTTT